GCAAATCATCCCTGGCATAAATGGTAATGCCTTGCAATTGCTGCTCTGTAACTTGTGTTTGGAAGTTGAATGTTATCTGGCCAGTCACATTTCTCAAGATTTCCCTTTCATTTATTTATTTATTTTAGCCATTTTACATACCAACCACAGTTTCCCCTCTTTCTGGTATCTCCTACTTCCCCCTCCCCCCACCCACCCTATCCGCTCCTCAGAAAGAGTAAGGCCTCCCATGGGGAATCAACAAAGCCTAGCATATCAAGTTGAGGTATGACCAAGCCCCTCCCCGCTGCATCAAAGTTGAGCAAGGCATCCCACCATAGGGACTGGGCTCCAAAAGAGCTAGCTCACCAGGGACAGATCCTGGTCCCACTGCCAGAGGCCTCACAAATATACCAAGCCACAAAACTGTTCAGTATTTCCCTGTCATCTTCTAGGTCTTCCATCTTATTTTAGAAGCTCTTGGGTATCATTGGGTATTCCATTTGATTTAAAAAGTGAGGGCCTGCATGCTTACTCACAAAAGCATTTAGAAACAATTGTCTGGTGGGCCAGAGGCTGCAGGAAAGGAATAGTCTGGTCAGGAAACTGAGCCAGGCTCCTCTTCCACCTCCTGCAGGTCTTCCTTGGCCTGGCCTGGCCAACTTCAGAGCCTGCTGGCCCCAGAATTCTCTCCACTCTGCTTCACTGAGTCCCACAGTATTGTCCTGGTAAGCAGAAGGAGGTGGCAGAGGATGAGGGAAGCTCTGAAGTTACTGGTGTTTGGGGTATGTCCAAGGTCAAGATCAGGCTGTGTCTAAATGTGAGTGGAGACACATTTGATATGAAAATGACTCTATACTGATTCAGTTCAGTGGAATCCAGAGAAAATTGGTTTTGAAGATTTTGAAAACCAATCAAGCATTAAGTTGATAGTCAAACTGACTGGCAACTTAAATCTACCTAATATTTAACTCCAAAGGAAAAACACAGAAAATGTACCCATAGGGTGAGGGTAATTATTTTTTTAGTAGACTTTATTTTTTACAGATCAGTTTTAGGTTCACAACAAATTTGAACAGAAGGTATGTGGTTGCTGTTTGAACATTTGTGCCTTGTTTTCTAGTGTCTGTATTAGTCAGTTTGCTTTCCTTCCTCTGCTCTCGATGGCATGGCTCCTTGTTTATTGACTTGTTTTCCTGTGCCTTCTCTAGTATCTTAGGATGGGTAAGGGAAGAAAGAGATCTGAGTCCATTTAGCTTTTCTTATAATGAAATCATATCTTATGTAAGTCTATAAAAGCAAGGACATAAGGCCAAAATGTAGTCAAATGTTTTCTTAGAAATTGCTTAAATTACCTATTATAAAACTCGAGATACATGCAGTTGTTGGTTTTTTGTTTGTTTCATTCCCCCCCACCCAGTTTTGAATTAGATACAGACTTCTGCAACTGATACTGGGTGAAACAATAGATTTGCATTATAGAGCAGGTTAAGGAGGGAGGTGGTAATTTAGACAATTGACTCTGAAACAGAAGGGTAACAAGTTCAAGGTCTTCCTGGACCACAGACCATGTTCAAGGCCCAAAATCAAAAACAAAATAAAAATAATAAAGGTCTGGTACTACAGCTCAGCGGCAGAGCACTTGCTTACCATGCATGCAAGACCCTAGACTCAAGTCACAGCACTGGAAAAACAGAATGAAACCCAGACTCATATTCTTAGTGGTGAGACCGGGATCAGGTACAGCACAAAATGAAAACGCAGGAACCCCTTGTTCAGAAGGTATTAGGAATGTCAAGACACCAGCAATGGGACATTAAACCAAGTGAGAGGTAGTGGTAGGATTTAGTCTTCAAAATAGAGCCTTCAAAATAGAGTTATGCAAGAAACGAGAAGCTTGGAAGTCAGATCAACCCAGGAAGAGAAGCCTCACAACCACCACAGAGGAAAACAGAGGGTTAAATCACTGACAGTGTTTCCTCATTCTTTGGGGCGTCCACACCTTTTCCTGCTCCCCCACACCAGATGCATCAGCTGTTTGAATTGAGGTTTCATGCAATTAACCCAAGATGCAAGTCCATCAGCAAATTGGTTGAGAGACTTGTAGGTCTCTATTACAATGATGATTTTTTTTTTTAATATTTGATACCCCCTCCACCAAGAATTCCTTGTAACTTAGAATTCAGATTGCAGGGGCTAGTAGTTTGTTCATGGCTTCTGGCCCCTTGCAGTATGAGAGAGAGAGAGAGAGAGAGAGAGAGAGAGAGAGAGAGAGAAACGCCTCACAAAAAGGGCCTCACCACTACCACCAAAAAGGTGCAGGGACTAAAAGTTTTCAGGGTTATAAGAAAAGGAAAGTATGTGCATTCATGCAGAAACTTTGATCTGCTCTTAGTTGATGTCTTTGCTTTGCCAAGGATCGCAGATAAAATATATTTCTAACACAAACTGTACTTGGAGGGAAAATGAGGTTATTACCATTAGTCTTCTTAATGGTTCAAAGCAGGTAATTTACAAATATTAGGTTCAAAGCTGGGTGTAATGGTACATGCTTGTAAACACAGCACTCCAGAGGCTGAGGCAGAAGAATCAGAAGTTTGTGGGCAGCCAAGGAAACATAGTGAGGCCCTGTCTCAAGTGAACAAATACAAACCCCAAATTAGATGCAATAATAAGATTTCTTCAAATAAAGTTTTAATTATTTTACTTGCTAAAATGGTTTCCTTTTCAGCTATTTGCCCCCAGAGAGTCATGAACATAACCTTAGCAGTGAGGACTTTATGGTTTGACCTGTGCAACAAGAATGAGATATAAAGCTTTTTGTCAGGAAGGCTGGGGTGTGTGCGTGGGTACATGCATGTGTGTGTAAGAGAACTGCCTTCTATTTAACAGAACAACCTAGGCAGACAGCAGTCAGTCAGAAATTCTCCAACGGGCTTTCGAATAACAAGCCATTTAAATTAAAGAGACAAAAGATTGGCTTCCTGTAATTTTTCTTCATAGCTTGGCTGATGTTAGCCTCTACCCTACTTCATTCCACTTCAAGGTTCTCATCCTACAACAGGCTGAAAATTGACTCATCGCTTTGACGAAGATTGCTCCCTTGTGTCTGTAAGAGTTACATATTTGAACTTTAAAAGAAGTGTCAAAGTCAGTTGGTCACCCAGGTAGACTGGACAACTGTGCTGACTCATGCTCACCTGTCCCTAGTTAATGACATAGCACAACACTTAGTACGTTATTACCAAGCTTCCAAAGCACATAGCTTCATGTGTCATTGTCACACAGTTACCAGCAATTTAGAGATATTTTTGGTTAATCTTTTTTACTGTGTCTTTTTTGTTTTTTTAGGGCAGTTGTGTGGTGGTGGTGATTTGGCAAGCCTTGACTAGAGGCTGCCATTCGATTATTTCAACAACTGATATAAATAACAGTGGGTTCATAGGAAAGAACCTGGGCACCAATAGCATTTTTCTCTTCAATCTCTTGTTCTACATCAGATTGCATATTATTTTTTAGATTTTGTATCTCTGTGTATGTCTCTATGTGAGAGTGTACCTGTGCATATGTGTATGTGAATGTATGCATGCCAGTGTTTGAGGAGTCCAGGAGAGATCCTTGCATCTCTTAGAGCTAGAGTTACAAGTGTTTGTGAGCCAACCAATGTGAATGGTAAGATCCAACTACCTGGGGCCCTCATGCAGAGAAGCAAGGGCTCTTACCAGCCATGGTTCCAGTTTTAGGTCTGTTTTAGGAGAGTGACAGATACAAATTTATACAGAGTACTAAGTAGGTTTGTTGAGAATGACTTGCCAGCTAGTTTCACTATGTAGACTGCTGTAGTTTCCTCCATTCTCACAGTACCTGAGTAAAACAAAACTGTTGCTGTCCCACTGAGCAAGATCTCCTGGAGAAGTAAATGTTAGGGACTGGGGTTGAACCTAAGACCATCCAGGTTGTACAACTGTATTTCTTATCTTGCTTTAAAATAGTCTGCTTTTGTTTTTCTTCCTCCTAGAATGATGGTGGCCAATCTGCCTCCACGATTCAGATATGATTTTAGGCCTGAACAGAAATATTTCAGCTTATATAAAGTTTATTTATTTATATGAATACCAATTTGTTTATTTTTATGAATACCACAAGTAATAACGATCTGCATCAGGGAGAGTAGTAGTTCTTTATGTTGAGGTGAAGACCGTTTCTTTACATCCAAAAGCAAACTCAGAAGGAGATATGCTTAGTAAGCCGGATCACACAGCGCCCCTCCCAGCACTTATTTACAATAACCCAGGTCGAAACTTCTCCCCAAGATAAGCGTTGCCAAAAGACGAAAAAAAAAAAAAAAAAAAAAAAAAAAAAAAAAAAAACTCATTTATTGCACACACGCGAAGCCTTCAGAGAACTCGGGCAGGTGTGGCTCCCAGAAGCCAATCATTTGACTCAAGGGACAAATCAGGACCCGTGTTATGAGAAAAACAGGAGCGCGGTTGGTCACTGATGTGCGTGGGACAGCCAGTTTGGGACGTTGCTGGCTTGCTTGACCCTGTGTGTGGACAGTGTGAAGGTGGGCGTCCAGTTTTCATAGTACAGCAGCAAGCGGGTCCTTTGGAGGTAGTCAGCATCATCCCAGCAGATGGACTAAAGAAGCAGGGTTTGCAGGAGCCCCCCGCTGTGCAGCCCGGTTCTTAGACCACCAGGCCACGCCCCCCCCTCCCCGATGCTTTCGCCCCGCCGACCATAGGCTGCCCCAGTTCCGTGTACACGCCTCTCCCGGACCATACCACCAGCGAGCACGGGGAGTCTATCTTCTCATGTCCAAACCGCTGCCAATACGAGCCGTCCTCGGCCTTTACGATAGATACCTGAGGAAGTTTGATTTCCTGTAGACACTCTCTGTGAGAGTTTAGCGATCTCACCTCTAACTTCCCTGGATCCCCGAGTCGCGGCGCCATCGTCCCCCCTCTAGTACCTTCATGGATGGTCTCGCCCAGGGAGTACCTCCGGACCCTTTAAATACCGCGTGCAGTGGCCGGAGGGCTCCCAAGTTGACAAGCTGGTGAGTCTCCTGGTGTGTGCGGCTCTGGGTGAGGGGAGAGCAGGTCCCCGCCACCCCTGCCACCCAGCCTTCCTCGAGTGTCTGCGCGGGATCTGGGGGTGCGTACCCATCCCAGGGGAGGGGCCAGGGATCTGAGCGGACCAACTCTCCTCAGGGCAGCGGGAGGGCTCCCTGTGCCCTCCGGGGTAAGGGCATTTGACCCCTAGTCAAGGTCTGAAGTGGGGCCCGGTGGCGGTGGGGCCCAGGCTGCCCCGGGTCCCCTGGGCCGTGATGACAGCCCTTTGGGTGCGTGCCAGCGACTGCACTCCGGGCGCTCGACACTCCGGGGTCCCAGCACGAGGGTCCCCGCTCCCCCAGCCCTGGAGAGTGGGGCTGAGCCACGGTGGGGCCGGGCAGCGGCCTGTGTTTGGGGTTTGTTGCCGGGTTTCTCTGGTGCTGGGCTCTGCCTCATAGTCCCCTCCCCCAAGCGTTTGTTTTGACAGGAAACGTGGTGCTGCTGGAGGGAGGGGCGAGCGGAGAACGTGGGCGAGCGGGTGGGACTCCTGAGACTTCCGTTGGACTTGACCATCCAGGAGGCCAGCTCAGGTCACATCTGGGTCAGACACTTGCCTTCTCAAGGATGGCTTTGTGCTCAGGGTAGCACCACAAAACATAGCAGCGAGATTTGGTGGCGTGTGATGACACAGTTACGTGTTTACATTGTATGGGAGAAAAAACTTCCATTAAACGAGCGATTTTGCAATGACATGACGTTTCCTTTTTAAATGCATTTACTAGAATGGGAATGTAGTTTTATGGTCGAGCACTTCCCTGGCATGTACAGGACTGTAGGTTTTTGTCCACCCCAAGAAACCCAAATCATGTGTTTTAATCCCAAACTCTAGTCAACAAAGAAGTGTTTACAGTACAAGCAGAGGAGTTTGAAACACTTAAGAGTGGTCCCCCATGTGACTGAAGTGAAACATACTCTCTTTTATCCTTGTCTTGGTACCTTAACGAGAAGAAACCAGGCAACTTGTCTTTGTCCTTAGTTAGCCCCCCTCAGCACTCAAGATGTCTAGCTCAAAGGTCTTGGTTTCCTTACCTGTCAACTGATAATGAGGTTCTTATGCAGGTTCCTGAGCCAGGTGGCTTCCTGTCTATGGTCTTTTCTTCCTGCCTCTATGGATTTCATACATTGCCTCACTTGAAGTGGCCCGGTCATGTATACGCACAGCTAACATGAGGGCCGCCCCTGGAGGGGTGTGGAAGCACCAGTGTTGCCGGTTGGAGGAGAGCGCTTTCCAGGTTGCAAAGTGCCTAGAAATCTTCCCCATGCTGTAATGACACGTGGAGCATGGGCCCTGCCTTTTAGACAGTGGCTGGCTTATTGGCCTTTGTCTAGCTCTCTGTTGGCCCTGTTTGATGAGGACTAGTAATGTTGCAGGGACTTTCCCTCAGTCCTATGGTTTTGCTTTGCTCTGGGCTGGTGCTAAAGCAGCACACATTTGGTAGAAGATGGAAATTTTCTAGTATCTGCAAATTTTTTCCATCAGAGCTCAGTTTTGCCCTAGCCCTGCCTCCCCTCCCCCTGTCCTATGGGTGCCTTGTGCTTGACTTTGGTATGGTCTTGAAGGAGGGTACCCACTAAATGTCTGTTGACATCTCTTTTTCCTACAACCTAGCTTTAACTGCATAGGTTTCATTCTTCAGGGCTTTGTTGGGTAACCTGAACAATTTACTTCAAAATGTTTTTGACTTGGCTAGGTGTAAGCCGTTAGCCCTTCAGGTAATACCTGAGTCTTAACAAGGGAACCGTAGAGGGCTTTTGTCACTATAGTGGGGTGGATGAATGTTATTTTGTTGAATGATGCCTTTCAGTGATGTCCTTCACCGTGTAGTGCTTGAACAGCTGTCCCAGGGTAAGGTCATCTTGCTTCCACATGTGCAATTGTCCACATGATGACAGATGGATCAGTTTGGGAGAGAGGGAATGGAAAGAATGAGCAGCACAGTGATTTCCTCCAGCTACCCTGGAGCAGTAGAATGTGTGGGCTTCAGGGTTCTAGCCTGCTGCTGGCTTCAGTTGAGCCCCTGCACTGCCGTAAACCTTTGGACAAGTGATGCTGTCTCTCTGACCCATTCTTATTTTAAACAAGAACAGCATCTACCTAACTCAGTTACGATGAAGATTTGAGGAAATCAATTATTTTTAGCACTTACAGAGTATTATTGAGATCATAATAAGCATCCACAACTGTTATTTATAATTGTTACTTTTTTAGTGTCAGTGGGTATCTGAAGAGCACAGTGGTACAACCTTTGTGTTCTTTAAGCTCCTAGGGGATGTGTGCCTTTAATCCCAGCACTCCAGAGGCAGAGGCAAGTGGATCTCTGTGAGTTCAAAGCCAGCCTGGTTTACAGAGTTAGTTCCATGACAGCTGGGGCTGATACATAGAGAAACCCTGTCTCAGAAAAAAAATAAAATAAAACCACCACCAACACCAACAACAAAAGTTACTGGGAAGGCAGAAATGCAGATTGGTAAACTACTCTGGTAAGCAACTGCTTAATGAGCAATGCAATCCAGGCAGGACACATTGAAAACTCTAGTTGTTTTATGAATAGTCGTGGGGACAAATTTGTCCATTTAAGGTATTTACTAACCTAGGCAGTGATCTGAGCTCTGGATGGCTAATTTACATGAGGCAAGAGTGCCCTGAAATTGAATTTGAATGACAAGAAGGGATGGTTGGCATGGCTGCCAATCTCCCAGAAGTCTTCTGTGCTTAGAGCCTGAAGGATTGTGGTATGGTGAGAACAAAAACCGAACTGTGGCCTCACATTCTTCTATAACTGGCATTGATTGATTCTTGAGTGTGGAGCCCTATATGACATAAGCCTTTCATTGGGGCTGATCTCTCAATACTGTCTAATTGGGGTGGAGTTTCTTGGTCCTCTGCAAGAACAGCAAGTGTTTTAATTGATGAGCTATCTCTAGCTCTAAAACGTCATAGCTGGGGTGAGATTTGAGCCTCCAAGGTCTTGGTGTAAAGCTACCCTAGTGGCCCAGATAATGCTTCTGGAGGAGTTATCCAGTGGGATTTAGCCCTGACTCCTTAGTTCCACTAAGCTTAGACTCTTCATAATGGCTCTATGCCTTGTACAACTTTTTGTCTCTATTCCCAGGCCAGTACATTCTTTAAAGTCCAGGTGAAGGTCACTATGGTCTCACAGCCCTTGCATTCTGTGTGGCTGCAAAATTAACATCACCTGAATATGGCCAGGCTTCTCAGTTTGTATCTGTTATGTAGCAAGACTTTTCCTGGGGACACACACACACACACACACACACACACACACACACACACACACACACACATCTACTCACCCGGGACAGGGAGCCCACAACAGACCAGAGTATGGATCCATCCAAGTCCAACTTGGTGAACCATGAGTTTTATTGATGGTACTTGAGGACTTTGCATGAGGGATAACTTACAGGAACTGAGATGACTCAGACAGCTACACCACCAAAATCCACTCCAGCTCCCAAAGCTGGGAACCTGAAGCACACTGCACAGCCTGGAGGCAGGCAGCTTAGCAGATTGAGAGTGTCCTTTCCAGGTAACTTTGATCTAAACCTCTCCAGGCAGCTGGGCTGGTCTCACAGTCTCTGCCCCTTGGTTACTTTACTCTTGGGACAGAATGGCTAGTGAATCTGGTCAGTTCCAGGGGATTCAAGAAGCTGTCTTGAGTCATTTGCCTTCTTTCTTGAGCTTCCCTGCAGGATGGACTGTTTCCACCTGGGAGGAGTCTGCTACCCAGCATCTTAGACAGTGGCTCTCAACCTTCCTAATGCTGTCACTCCAATGCAGTTCCTTATCTTCATTGCTGCTTTATAACAGTAGCAAATTGTAAATACCAATATGCAGCCCCTGTAAAAGGGTCCTTCGTCCCTCAAAGGGATCACAACCCACAGATTGAGAACCCCTGATCTGATACCTGGGTCTGTATGATCCAAAAAGGTGGCTGAGTAGAATCCTAAGGTAGCAGAGGGCAGCAGATACTGATGGCCTCTGAATGCCTGTCTGGAAACGAAGCTCTCAAGGTCCTGCCCCAGACCTGTGATGGGAAGAGCATACTTGAGGTCCTCTAAAAGGCTCCCAGGACCATTCTCCCATGGTCATGATGACGATCCTGTGACACCTTCCATTGTAATCTCTTTAGCAGAATTTCCTTGGCCACTTTGGTTTGGTTTTTCTAGAGATGGCTTTTCATACTTCACATGTCCAAGGATATGAACTTATAAAATCTTTCAACTGTGTTTTTCTTTCTCTTCTCTCACATCGTGTATGTGGTTAAAAGTAGACATACACATCCTTCAATAGTTTGCTTAGAAACATCTTCCCTTAAATACCCTGTTCCATAGCTCTTACACCTTCCATAAAGTCCTTGGACATAGGCAAAATATGCCAGATTCTTGCCACTCCTGTGTCTAATATTGTCCTATATTTCCTTTTGAGACATCTTCAGGGTTGTCTTTACTGTCCCCATTTCTAACATCCTATTTCATAACAAATGAAGTCACACGTAGATGACTTAAGCTTTCTCAGAAGCTCTTAACTGTCCTCTGAGTTTCCCTCACAGTTGTTCTGCATGTTCCATTCACAGCAGTCTAAATGTTTTCTAGTCTCTTCCTTTGGATTCTACCTTGTTGCCCAGTTCCAAAACTCCCTCTCCATTTTCAGGTACTTGGTTCAGCTACAACCAGCCTTCCAGTTTCAATTTTCTGCCCACCCATTACGTGATTCTATAGGACAGTACCACAGACTAATTTATAATGAACAGTAATGTATTTGGCTCACACTTTTGGAAGGCGTGGGGGTCCTTCCTGCTCCTTTGTATGGTGGAAGGCATCCCATGGGTAAGAGGGCACACAAGAGTTCAAACTTAAAGCTGTGTGGCCTTTGAAGATCAATGTTAATCCATGTGTGAGTCTAGAGCCTTTATGACATAATGCCCCAATTAGGCCCCTCCTCTCAGTATGTTCTTTTGTGGGAAACACCACCAAACCACCACAGTTTATCAAGGATTATATCCCTAGCCTCTGGTTTAAATGGTTTTAAAGTTTTTTCAGAATCATAAATTATTTTAACACTATAATTGGCATCTGACAGGACATTCCTAGGCACTTAAGCATTAGACGTGACTATTTCAGGCAATCTTCACAACTCCAGTCTGCAGATAGCAGGAGTTAGGATCAGGAACTCTGTCTGCTTGGCTAGCAGTGTTCTTACTGCTTTGCTGACACGTATGTCAATGCTGGTGTGTCTTTATAATCCTGAACCAGGACAGGGTTCTTTATAGAAAGAGTTTTCTGTAGGAAGGAAATAAGATTTACAAATATAAACTGAACTATCACAAGCAAATTAAAAAACTGATTTCCCTGCTCTCTGTGGTGGGACAGTTGACCAGCCCTGGTGGGACACATGATTGGCTCCTTCAGGTTCCTATATCCTTTTCTTTGTCTCTAAAATGTTAACAGTTATTCATCCATGTATTTAATTCAACAGTGAATCTTTACCCACCGACCAGTTGTTGCCCTGAGAAGGCATGGCATTATGCTGTATGTTACAAAAGAATGGAATAATACATAAAATCTTAAGTTTCTTTAAATACTATTTGTAATAGTAATAATGTTGGAAGCTTTGCTTGAAGGTACCTTTTCCCTTTACCTTTGACCAGTGAGTCCTCAGGTTGGATGAGATGTGGTATTCCTGCAGAATCATTTGATTTACCTGGGAGTTGCTTTGATGATCAGCGAGGTACATCTAAGTTTGTCTGTATGGAAAGCATTGCGCTTCTCTAAAGCAAACGACTGTTTTATCATCAGTCTGAGAGAATCTGAAATGTTGAAGCCATCTAGTTACCCTCAGTGCCTTTTCAGTCCAGTTTATTTGTCCCCAGATGATTCATGTGGAAACTCAAGATGAAGGAAGGTAAGAATTGGTGTGAAGGCACTCACAGAAGACCTTTTACCCTGGGAAAGGCCATTTGATTTAGGGTTTTATATTTCAGACAAGTGTGCGAGTTCTATCCTAGGGTCACTGCCAGCCTTTTTTTTTTCCTGTAAGGAAAACATGATTTTGTTATCCTGGTTTAATGTCCAAGGTGATTTGACAAACAAGGGCATATAATCACCCATGTCCTGTTGTCGCTCTGTAGGACAATGCCCTTGCAAGCATTGCCCTTTCCTTAGTAAGTAAGTGAAATCTCCCTCCAGCTCCACAAGTTAGGCATTTGAGGTTTGCCTGTATAAAAAGTAGACAATTTAACAAAGCAGTGAGTTTGTTGCTTCAAACACACTCTTCTGCTTGCATGCAGTGAGTCCCAGTATAGCATGGGTGCTTTTGCCAACTGAAGAGTTTCTGAGCAGTGTGATACGTTTCAATTTTCTGTTATAGCTGCGTGCCTCAGATCCTACCTCTAGTGACATGTTGACACAAAACTTAGTTGCAAACAATTAAACATGCTTGTTGTATGTTTGCTTTCTCAAAACATCTCATGATCTCTGGTTTCGGGGAGCATCTTAGCAATTTCTGACTGAAAGATTCTATGTAATTAACCAACCTCACTGCCCCCACTTCTCCCCAGAAAACAGCTGTGCATGAAGTCACAGTAAGCTATCGACAGACTGGGTTCTGTTTCTTATTAACCTCATGCTTCTTGTTTTTTAAGTCCTGCACTTGACTCCCTTGTTCATTTTGTTAAATGTGCTATCCAGCTAGACTATAAAGTGAACTGGTTCATAAATTCCCTTAGACGAAAGCTTTTTTTCACTTTTACTTGGAAAAAAGCTTGTTGGTGTGAGGCCAGTGAAGTCGAGAAAGAGCAGGAGCCAGACCAGGAGTGAGAAGACCTGGGATTTGGATTTAAATCGAAAAAGCTGGGCATAGATGGTAGTGTCTTTGTTCTAGAGCCTGCACTTGGTAGCAGCAGGCATGTAAATGTTTAGGTCTGTCAGTTTACAGATACTCTAGTTGAATCTGTACCACATAGGATTCAGTGACTATGATGTAGCTGACACTGAGTATTTGTTGTGAACTTGGTGCTAGATGAGGCACTGTACCTGCCTATCAAGGAGATTCAGAAATAGCCACTGCAAGAAAATAGCTGCAGATGCTTTTGTGTGTGTGTGTGGGATGTCCATGTTGGAAGCTTGCTTTATCACCCCACCCCAGTTCCTTGAAACAAGGTCTCCCATTGTACCTGGAGCTAGGTTGGAGTCCAACAAGCCCCAGAAATCCTTCTGTCCCTCCCAACAGTCGTGGGATTACAGGTGCATGCAACTTAACTGTGCCCAGGTTTTTAATGTGGGATTTGGGGACTTAAGTTCCTCATGTCTGGTACAGCAAATGTTGTGCTCACTGAACCATCATCTCCTTAGTCTGGTTCAGGTCCTTTTGTGGAGATGGAGGAGATGTGCTACAGACCTGCTGAGCAGAGTACCATGAGCTGTGTGGAAGATGGAGGGAGGCTTCCTGGGGAATGAAGCATTTTCAAGCAGTGCTCACAATGGGAAGTGAAATGTTGGCAGAGAATGACAGCAGCTCATTTTCTCCTGTCCCTTCCTGCCTTCCCCCAGAATACTGTAGTAAGTGCTCAGGTAGAAACTAGTTTTCATGGGATAGAGGAAACTGTCTTGACACTCAAGAGCCAAGAGTTCGGGACTCTTTTTGTAGCCGGTGTCTATGGTAGTTGGCTTTGGGATTCTAAGATAGGGTGGCTGATTCCAAGTGACAGTTCCCCACTACTCCTTGCCCTTCTATCTGCAGAAACAGTCAACAGCTCTCTGCTTGCTCAAGTTCTGACCTGAGAAAAAAGTCTGAGTGTCAAGACTGAAGAGAGTTTTGGTTAAGACCAGGTGGAAATGCCTTTGGCCTTTTTCCTGTTTCATGCCCTGCCCCCAGATATATCCTTGTTCCTATTGGCACCCAAGAGATGCAGTTTGCCCTATAGCTCACAAAAACGTACCCCTTAGTCCTGACCCTCATCCCACCTCCTTTTCCCCTTGTACTTCTCAGCAATACCTTGTTTCCACTTCTTTCATCTGGCACACAGTTTTAAGTAACTATAGTTTAGAACTATGAGAATAAGGCCATGTCAATTTTGTTCAGTTACTTTTCCCAGTGCTGGTGCACAATAGGTACTCTGTAAATATTAACAGTTTCATTAAAGAAACTGTAGAGGCAGTCCCAGTCATATTATGCATTGTAATGGTTTTTCTCTGTTCTGGCATCTGTGTAAGTACCCCATCCCTCACTGAAGTGAACTGTCTCTATCCAGGGTTGGAAGTGTCTTCTCTTGGGTGAAATTTCCCTTTTGGTGTCAGCTATACTATGTTCATGTCAAGGACAATTTCTCATAGCTGTGGCTGGTGTTCTTGGGTCCAGATCTGGCATTCATATGCCATAATCTTTCTAGATTGTGCTATGCCTGACTCCTTCCTTGGGATGCTATGTGATATCCCAGAGAAAGCACTTAACTTAGAGTCTAGGGGCTGGTTCCATGGTGGAGTGAATCTTCTTGTCCCTCTGAGTCTGCATCAGAACCCTATGTTCCTAGGTATTTAGAAGTTGTGCTGCGTACTTTGTAAATTGTTAAGTGCAAATCAAATAATAGGTCTTGGTGTTCATGCTGTGACATATGAAAATGGAGGAGATGACTGGTAGCCCAGAAAGGCTCCTTAGTCTTTCCTTCCCTTGCTTGAGAGGCTCACAGAGGTACCAAGAGGTTGTTTGAGCACACTTATTTTTTTTAAGTTGCATTCTTTGAATTTTCTCTGTGTATGTGATTAGGTATATGTATGCTACGTGTGGAGGTAAGAGGGCAGTTGTGGAAATTGGTTCTTTCCTTCTGTCATGTGGATTACAGGTATTGCACTCAGGTCATTGGACTTGGCAGCAAGTGCATCAAGCCATCTCACCATCTAACTTACTTTATTTAAAACAAAGCAGTAAAAATAGTAACTATCCTTGAGTACCATGCAAATAAGCCCTGTGACACAATTAATCCTCCAGTCTCCATAAAGCCCTGGAAGTTGCTCTTTGATCCCAGCTTTCTTCATGGAGTCAGGTGGCAAAGTGATGTCCCCAGAACAGAATAAGGAGTCTGACGAGGAGTCCCACAGAGCCTTACCACACCAACCCAGGAGAGAGCATCTATGCTCTGTGTGCATGTTCAAAGGGTCTGTTATCACTTGGAGCTGCTTCACATTTGCACTGCATATGGCTTTGAAGCCCCTTTTGTGGAAGGGAGTCTTGGTCAGGGTGTTGGGGAAGGGGAGGAAGTAATTTCTTGAGGACTTTCTCTTTTTCATATACTATCACACCTGTGGGCATTATATTACCCGTGTTGGAAAAAGGATGTCAGAAGCCATGTTGATTCAGGGTCTCTCTGTCTCTCATCCTCACCCCATCTGTCTGTCTCTGTGTCTGCCTGCCTGTCTCTCTCTCCACACCCAAGGTGATACAAGATGCCTTTGAATGGTGAGAAGCAGTGTGTGAACGAGGACCAGCAGAGTGATTCAGAGTCTTCCCGGTTCTCCCAAAGCATGGCTTCGCCCAGTGACTATGAGTGTTCCAGGCAGAGCTTCACCAGTGATTTCTCCAGCAAATCCAGCTCTCCTGCCTGTAAGCAACAGGGAGCAAGGTGGGGGTGGCGGGGGTGCTGGCATTGCATGATGGCTTTGGAAAGTCACAAGTGTTGGGAGCAAATCACACACTTCCCCTCCTTTCTATATGCACTGGATTAGTGTATCAGAGGCACCATGCAGTCTCTGTGTGTTCTCAGGAATCAGTTTGTAAGCTGCTCCTGTTATTTTGAACCTTGTCTCTAACCTATTTGGTTTGAGCATGCATCTGAAGCCCCCACCCCTAGCTCTGTCTGTTTTGTCTCCAAATGGTGGCAGCAACCCTTCTTGAGATTATCTTGTGCAGATTATGATGAAATCAGATTAGTATTTTTTGTTTCACATAGAAGGAAATTTGCCTTTCCGGAAGGGTGGACAGGAAGTGAAATAATCTAAAGAGGGTTTCTCTACTGATTTCATACAGTGTTGTGCAAATCCTCCCAGATCAGCCCACATGGAGAATTGCTACACTGTGGGTTGTGAGAGAGCCAGAAGAATAGCTGGCACTAGGGAAACACCCACCCCCTTTTTTGTCTGTGGACACAGGACATGTGTCAAGCAGGTGCTTTTTTTCCTTCCCCCTTTCCTCCACAAGATTTCACTCTTTAGCACAGGCTGGCTTTGAACCTGTGACAGTTTCCTCCTCAGCCCCTGAGGGATATGGTTGTAGGTTTGAACCACTGCTTGGATTTGCCTTTGTTTTTTAGGTTTTGAATTAGCATTTTGTCTAGAAAGTATGTAACACCTTAAACTAGCAAGACTAAGGTAGAAAAAGCAACTGATGTTCAACAAGTTCAGATGCTTGCTTGAAAACAATTAGTTTTGTTTGTTAAAATTTTTATGTTTCCAGTTTTTAAACTTGGAAAATTTAGAGAGAAGAGAAAAGAAGGGATTGCCCACAGTATCACCCAAACATGACAGACACCTGCCAGCACTTTGCCAGACCATCATTCTTCACACTGATGGGGACTCTTGCCCTTAGCATTGTAACCAAAACACATGCATGCTTGTTCATGATAGAATCTTTCCTAAACACTGTCCTTATAAGCACCTACTATGTCCTGAAGGAGACAGATATTTACACATGTTTGTTTTTGGACAGTCCCCTTCCACCTTGTTTTGCTCTTTTATAATTGGGGTTCTGTGAGCACCTGATGGATGCACTGAGACATTCTGGGTATCATTGGATTATTGGACCAAAGACTACAGATGATTTTAGGGATAATCTTGAGGTGGAGAATCTACAGCAGCCATGAACTTCTGCATCTTTTCTCATTCCTGATACCATGTCTAGAGTCTCTACATCTGGAACCATGGCACTTAGGCAATCTGAGTTCCCGGGCATTCTCTTTCCTTCTCACCCTCCTCCCCCTGAGCACTTTCTGTGCCTCCTCTAAAACAAACACTAACAACAAAAGGGAAAGTATTGCCTGTCTGTGCCATTCTTTATTTGAGGTCATGAGTTTTAATTAACTGAAACTGAGATTTTCCAACAGTGATTTTGTAAATTTGATTTATTACAACAATTCCTTAGTGTAATATCTAGAAATAACTCTAATTCTACTATTTCCATACTGAGTAGATAATTGATCCTATCAAATCGAGACAGGGGTTCTCTGTGTAGCTTTGGAGCCTATCCTGGCACTCGCTCTGGAGACCAGGCTGGCCTTGAACTCACAGAGATCCACCTGCCTCTGCCTCCGGAGTGCTGTGATTAAAGGCATGTGCCACTAACTCCCGGCTCAAATATATTTTGTTATGTTTTAATTATGTACTGAGTTCCTCCTGTGTTTTTTATTTAAATTGCTCAATGGTGGTGGTGCACACCTTTAATCCCAGCACTTGTGAGACAGAGGCAGGGAGATATGAGTTCAAGCCAGCCTGGTTTACAGAATGAGTTACAGGACATCCAGAGCTCACAGAGAAACCCTGTGTTGAAAAAAATTAATTTTTTCTTAATTAATCACCTCAGAGAGAACCTGTTAAGGGGCTAATATATGTATCAGTGAATTCAAATGAACTAGCAAATGTCAGAAATTGGAATTTAACTTCAGTCTTACACTGAAATGCCTATACAGTTAGGAAGTATACAACCTTATCTACCAATCTACTGCTTAATACATGTAAACACATACATCAATAAAACATGGAAATGAAACCAATTTAAGTTTTTAGAAATTATAATAGGCCTATATTAAGGAGTTTGTCATAGGCACATTTGAAAATTTATTATAAATATGGAAACTGAAGCCACAAAAGGAGTGCTTAAATATTTGAAATCTTTACAAGCCCACTTTTCTTTAGTCTATGTTCCCTGACTTGTAAAACCATGATATTTACCTGAGAATGAGCCTTGACACTGGAGACATTAGATGCCAGCTTGTCTCCTGCTGCAATAGCTGACTTCATTTTTCTTTCAGCAACAAGCCCTCCCAGGGATGTAATGTTTGATGTGATGGCTGCAGCCAAGAACTTATCAGACATGACACTTGCTCATGAAATAGCTGTAAATGAGAACTTCCAGTTGAAGCAAACTGCCCTCCCAGAGAACAGGTAACCTGGAAGCCTGTATGTATGTAAATGATGCTAAAGATTGTGTGTGTGTGGGGGGGGGGTGTGGGGTGTGTGTTTAAAGGTAGTGAAGAGTTCTGTGGAAATGGATTGACTTTAGGGACCAAGCAAGTTGGCCTCTCTTGTGAGCTCTTCCTAGGTTATCTCCTCTTTCAGCAGTTTACTCCCGGCTGACTTTAAATGGTACATCTGAGTAGAAGATGACAGCCATTCAAAGGCATGTCTCCTTGGGACCAACCTGTTCTGTCCTTTGCCACGAAAGTTCAGTTATTGAAGAAAGAGCAATGCCATTAGCTTATCCCTAAAATACAGAGTTGTATTTATAGTTATAGTTGTATACTATCTACTAAGTAATGATATGCCTTTATAGGACAGAATTTTTTGAAGTTACTGAAATATTTGCTAACAAAACATTTTAAAGTTTAGGGGAAAACAACATGAATCTCTAAATGAGAAAAATGTATTATATTGTGCATTTTTTATTTATTATATTGGGTATTTTTTTAATATTTGTTTTTGTGTGTGTGAAGAGAGAGTCTGTCTGTCTGTCTGTCTGTCTGTCTGTCTGTCTGTCTGTCTGAGTATATGTGTGCATGGAGGCCACAAGAGGATATTTGCTTCCTCCAAAAACCCAGGTGTTTGTGGGACAGCTGGCTTGTTAAGAGGAGTCTGAGATCTGACTTCCTGTCCTTGTGATTACACGTCTTAACCCACTAAGACATCATTCCAGCTGGTGTTTGTTGTGTGAAAACAATGCCCATGCTTTGAACATGGAAAGTATGCTAAAAGATTAATTATGGGCTTATGGGTTAGATATGTTCTAGGTTTTTAAAAATGCATTTTCTAAGAAATCTATAGTGAACACGTATCCTTCATTGCTCATTTTAAATAGTCCATTTTTTTGCTGTAGCCTTGCTGGTCAAGTGAAGCGTGTTGTTCACCAGGCCTTCTGGGATGTCTTGGAAGCAGATCTCAGTGCTGAGCCTCCCCAGTATGAATATGCCTTCAGACTCTTTGAAGAAATCAGAGAGGCAAGTTCATGCTTGTTCCATTAATGCCTTAACCCTGGGATCAATGTGATGGATAGCTTATAACCAATAGAAATTCCTTACAATTTTAGAGACTGGGAAGTCTGAGACCAAGAAACCAGCAGACATGCTGCCTGGTAAAGGCCTATTCCATAGGAGAATCCTTTGTTTTTATCCTCACATAGCAGAAGTGGGTAAAGGAGCCCTCTGAGATCCCTTCCATAAAGGCATTAATCCCATTCATGGTGACTGTACTCTCATGACCCAATTCCCTGTCAGCATTGCATTTCAGCCTCTGACTAGGGATGGGGATGCAAATATACTGTAACAGTTGGTTTCCTCTCCCAAAGACTTTTTGGTGTTATCATTGACTTTATAAGATTGAGCAGTCAGACACCAGTAGATTCTCTTATGAACTGCCTATAGTGGGATGAATCTAGGGACACAGCAGCAGACAGAACTCAGGGCAGAGCTCTGAACACAAAACAAGACTTTGGAATTAGACCTGGCTTAGTAATGGGCTCACCCTCTAAAATGTCTACTTCTTGAGTGTTTACAGGGTCATTATAGAAGTTAAATGTCTTTTTGGTGACATTTACAAGATGCTTGCTCTTTACCATGAACTATAGTATTATTTTATATACAGAGTTCTCTACCTCACCCATGATCACAAAGCTTTGAGAGCAGAGGGATTTGACTTTTGTTCCCCAGCCATTACAGTGTCTGTGAGCTTGGAGTCCACTGTGTTATGAGGCTTGTATGGCCTTTGTGTGCAAAGTAGTCTTCATGGATTTCACGGGGTAGTTTTCATCTACCAAGTGTTTTTGGAGCCATTATGAGCAACCTGTTCCTTCTTTCCCTCATTGAAGGCTTTTGGAAGTGTTCAGGTTCTGCTTCCTTGTCAGTCTTCATTCTTAAATATCAGTCACCCACCACAATGGTGTCTTTGATTCTTCAGGTTGAGCTTTCTTTCCAATGTTGAGACACTGGGTGTCTCCAATATACCTCCTAGGCAATATGGGGACGTTGTGGTAAGAATGGGGAGGATTCCACCTTCATCTGTAACAGTGATGCTGACTCTTCTTCCTTGTGCAGATTCTCCTCTCTTTTCTCACTGGTGGGAACAGGCTTCACAACCAGATCTGTGAGGTTTTGGACATTGACCTCATTAGACAGCAGGCTGAACACAGTGCTGTTGACATTCAAGGTCTAGCCAACTATGTCATCAACATCATGGGGAAGATGTGTGCTCCTGTGAGAGATGAAGATATCAGAGAGTTGAAGGCTACTACCAACATCGTGGAGATGCTGAGGTTAGCCCTTTGCTGTATGCATTTTCTTACAGAACCTTCACATCCATTCAAAAGAGACTTGGGAGCACAGGGAACATAGACAGCTGGACTTCCAAAGGAGTTTGTGACATCAGGGGGAAAACAAAACAAAACAAAAGCAGGGAGCCAGTCAGTCCTTGACAGAGTGTGAAGAATTTTCTAGCAAAGTCTTTAGTTTGCTTTCAGTGGGCCTTGAGGATGTAGTAATAAAAACAGAATACTTGGCCCCAGGGGTTTAGAGTGAAGGGGACATATCTTGAAGAATGTACTGTGCTAATTAAACAGTTGTTCTTGTGCTATTGAAGGAGGCTTAGAGGGTTATAGAGCCTCCAGCAAGGGTATTCTAATGTCCTTAAGGTTAGAGGAAGCCATTTGCATTAAGAGTCATTAGCTGCTCTTGAATCCTCAGTGATTTTGTCAGTAAGCAGTTCTTTTGTACTGGTGTCTGACTCTAGGATCTATTGGTCATGCAGCTCTCCACTTCCCTTCTGGGGACCAAGGCTCCTCTGTCCTTGGTTGTCTCTCACCCAGCTTATGATATTTTCTCCATTCAGCTACAAGTTGAAAGTGACTGTGGAACACTGATGTGTAAACTCTGCCAAAGGGGCATATACCCTTGACTTTGCCTAGTCACACAGTCTCACCCAGATTGAAGTGGGGCTCTGGAAGGTAGTTCCTGTCTGGAGATACTTGCCATAGCCTCAAATCTGCCAGAGATTAGTAGTCAGCTGTCCAGCTCTACTACAGTTTCTCCAAGGATGTGATATTCACATTAATGTGTGACCATCTTATCAATCTCTATAGACAATAACTTATTCATAATCCCAAAGGACATACTATGAACCACTTATTGCCATTGAGGGACACTGTTTTTATGAATACAAGTCCTATTGAGAACTGAGTTTTATGTTATAGTTTTAGAAACCAAGGAGATGGAAACAAGTCTATATATAGAAAGTAATTTCATTTGTAGCCTGTAGCAACTTGACAGTTTTTCAAGGTGAAACTTTACCTGCCTGTAAAATGGACTTTATAGGTCTTTAGAATCATCTTGAGTTCTGGAAGACTGTAGAAGCTTTTCTTCCAGTCATGAATGTTACCAGCATATGATGTCAAATCTCCAGTGTTGATGTAGGTCATGGGTACCTATTAGATTCTTTTTTTTTTTTTTTTTGAGCCACCAAATTTAGGTAGAGTTGCTTGTGTAAGTGTGGGTGGAGGCTGTTTGCTGGAGCATGGATAACTCATGAGTGGCTATAGCCACTGAAAAAATGCCACCCCCTTTCCCAGCAACATTAACTGATAGTGGCTCCTAGGCCAGGGGTGGGACTTCATGGGTACCTCCTATGTTCATGATGGAATATTGAAGGGCCCAGTCTTGTGCCCTTCACCCACTGTAAAAAGGGACATCTCTGTCTGAGGTTGAGAGCATCACTAATCTATGAGTATAAACATAAATATTTAGAAGGCAGTTTGACAATGTGTATTTAGCCAAACAACAATAATAGGTTCATTCTGTGGCCTATGGCTTTCTAAGTCACAGGATTTGATTTAGCTTACAGTATCAGGTGTATATTCATTCTGTGAAATACGCCTTAAATCCAATCAGAATGTAGTTAGCTACCTCACAAATAGCCATGCCACTATTGCCCAGAAGCTCTGTATTATAGCCTACACGTTCACAACTAGATAAAACCATGGATGAACTTTCTCCCCCCAGCAGCCTGGATAGCACCTTGGACACTACATACACTAGCAGCCAAGTTGATCTCTCTCTGTCTGACAAAGTGTGTAGAATCTTCAGCGGTAGACCTTGTCTTACTGTCTAATTCTGGTGTGCAACAAAGAACAGTGACAGTAGACTATGTTGTTTTGAAGAAAATGTTGGGACCTTTCTGGGCAACAACTCAGAGGGAGATGTCTCTTTCCTGACAGCAGGATTTTTGTTTAAAGACCCATGACTTCTGGGAGCAGCATTATCCATTCATGTAGTGTTTCTTCATTCCTAGCTTTTTAAAAAAAATTGGTGACTTTAGTTAGCTTATAAAGAAATGGGTTTTCATATGATTTTTCATATATCTTCTGTTTTTGTAATATACCCATGCCCCATCCTCCTGCCCCATCCCTGTTTAAACCTTTTTACAAATCATATCTCCCCCTCCTCAACTTCCATATCCCATTTGTTTTACTGCTCACGCACTTAGGTCTTCTGCAGCCTCCTGGCTGTTTTCTTGTTTCTTGACCTTTACAGACAGACACATAACTCTCAAAAGTCTAAGCTGGGATCCTCAAATGAGAGAAAACATGAAAATTGTCTTCCTAGGTTGTCTTCACTCAGTAGAATATTTTTCAGTTCCATGCATTTTCATGGACAATTCATAATTCTATTTTTTAACATTTGAATAAAATTCCATAGTATAAATCAGTGTTTCTCAACCTGTGGGGTCATACCCCCTTTTGGGGGGGCTTGTTAAATAACCTTTTCACCTAAGACCATCAGAAAACACTGGGGGCTGGAGAGATGGCTCAGAGGTTAAGAGCACTGCTCTTCCAGAGGTCCTGAGTTCAATTCCCAGCAACCAATTGGTTGCTCACAACCATCTATAATGAGATCCGGCGCCCTCTTCCAGCCTGCAGGCATACATGCAGGCAGAACATTGTATACATAAAAAATAAAAAAATCTTTAAAAAAACACAGATGTTTACATTATGATTTTTTTTTGTTTTTTTGTTTGTTTTTGAGAGGCTTTCTCTGTGTAGCCCTAGCTGTCCTGGAACTCACTCTCTAGACCAGGCTGGCCTCAAACTCAGAGATCTGCCAGCCTCTGCCTCCCAAGTACTGGGATTAAAGACATGTACCACCACCACCTGCCTGCATTACACTTCTTAACAGTAGCAAAATTACAGTTATGAAGTAGCAAAGAAAATAATTTTATGGCTGGGGTCACTGCCACTTGAGGAACTGTATTAAAGGGTTGCAGCATTAGGAAGGTTGAGAACCACTGGTGTAAGTGGGTCACATTTTCTTCTACCCATCAGTTGACAGATAACTAGGCTGGTTCTGTTTCCTGACTATTATGCAAAGAGTACTGATGAACACGATTGCTTCCTGAATTTCTGTTTTCATTATCTCACTACTGTTCATAACACACTTCCAAGGGGATGACCTCTTCTCTTAGTGCTGGGAAACTGAGGCACAAGGGTGCAGAGGAAGTATGCATGGCCATAGATCTGTCATAGATCCGTTGAAAAGCTGGATCTGAGCAGGACTGCTCAGCCTAAAAAACAGCTTTTTTCCCCTCAATGTCTCACTGCCCTGTCTTCTTATTTACTTAGTCTCCTTTCCTTAGCAGTAGAATCCTTATGCACTCTGTTCAGGCTCCTTAAAAATCACAGCAGGCTCTACTGTGGTGGATGACCTGGTGGTGTGACAGTATTGCCATAGTAGATGATTTTGCAATGTCTGGAGAACACATGTAGAATAGACGAGTATAACCTTCCTTGACAAATGACCCTGGTGAATGACCATTGACACCTCAGCACCATTTTCAAGAGGTTTATATTATCCAGCCTGTGACACATAGGTAGTTGTCAGTTTCAATTTAACTTCTTAACCACTTCTCATTTCCATTTTGAAAATTTTAGACAGATATTCCGTGTCTTGGACCTCATGAGAATGGACATGACAAATTTTGTCATTAGGAATATTAGACCTCACATTCAACATCATTTGGTGGAATATGAGAGAAACAAATTCCAGGAAATTTTAGAAGAAACTCCAAGTATGTATAATACAATGTGTGTTTATGTCAAAATTGGGTCAAAATCTGACACTGTAACTTTTTCCTGTTTGTGTTGTGTTAATGTTAAGCCACTTAAAAGTTGGTATCAAACTTCCAGGGTTTTTTGTTTGTTTGTTTGTCCCAGGAGATATGTGAACACGTCTTATTTTTCCCTTTATTTATTTGTAAAGGTTTATTGAGCATCTGCTGTATCCTATTGGGAAGGTGCTATGGTATGGCAATGGACAAACCAGAATGAAGTTGTAGTCTCCAAGGAGCTGACATTCTAGTAGGCATAACAAGCAAGCATAAACTGTGACATATATCATTAGGGAACAGATAGTAGCTAGCAGGACAAGAGTGAGGGCAGAGGATGTCTGTAGAAGGGATGAGGCAAGGCTTCTTCAGTAAGTAACATTTGGGCAGAGTTGGCTGAGAACTATGGAAGGGGTATGCACAGGTCTAGGGAAGCACAGAGGGAGCTGCAAGGACAGACCCTGACACAGAAACTGGCTTTGATGTTTGACACTACAAGGCAGATGTGACTGAGGGAAAATGGGCAAGGGAAGGAGGGACTGGCTGAGAGGGGAACAAGGCAGATGGTATGACAAGATTTTGGGCATCCCTGTTTTCATGAGGAGTCACTGAGAGTAATGGGCAGGGAAGCAGCATGTGATTTTTACTTTTAGGTCATGGTTCCTACTTGACAGCAAAGAAGGTGACAGAGCTGTCAACTGTGTGGCCTAGTGCTTCTCTGACTAGAATGGGGGTGGCTTGTTCCAGATAGCAGTGACAGAGGACATAAGACCAGGTACTGAGTGTGCTTTGACAGTGGAGAATACCTGGTGAAGGTTGGAAGACGGGAAATGGAGGCATTGAGGAGGACTCAGTAAAAATATTTGGACCAAGCATTGGGTTAGTGGTGGGATGGGGGAATCTTGGGAAAGAAAGGTTGGAGGGAGGTTTAGGTATATAGTTTGACATTAGTGTAGAGATGCCAGGTAGACATTTAGGTGTGAGGGTACAATGTTGGGAACCATGGATGCACACTGGGCTTCATCAGAATATTTATACTATATAACGCTATAGAAGTAGATAGTTGATACTTGGTGCTTAGCAGGTTCTAGGCAATTTGCTTACATAAACCAATTTAATATTACAAGTATATGAAGTTGCCTCCCACTTTATAAATAGGGAAACTGAGGCGTGGAGAGGTTAAATCATTTGCTTCCATGTAAAGTATGGAGCTGGACTCACCCAGGCAGACTCGCACAGTCCATGCACTTAATCATCCTTACCACATGGGATAAGACGGCCTTAGAGAGTAAGTGTAGCTGCTGAGGGGACTGGCCTGGTTCAGATTAGCATCTTGAGGTGACATGAGGAGGATCAATGGAGACTATGAGAATAGCCAGGGAAGGAGTGTTCGAGCTAGGAGGAGTGGCATCCTACTGTGCAATTAAGAAGCATGAGTGGATGTGACAGGACTTTTCAGTAGTCAAGACAGATGAAGGCCAAGACTTGACTACTGGATTTGACTAATGAGGATTATTGATAGCTTTGATGGGAGCAGTGTCAGTAGATTTATGTCTGGTGAGGGGGCAGAGAAGGATAGAATTGAGTAAATGCTACCTCCATCAATCACGTGTCCAGGGAGGTGGGTCCTGTTACCCTTTACTTTTCCAGTGGAGGACTTGAGGTGCTATGGCAGCTAGCAGGTGGTTGTGTTGATTGGGATTTTATTGGCTATGATCTACCTTCCCTCTGGCCCACCTTTAACAGACTGAGCTCTCCCATTACAGTGATAACACAGTAGCATTGTGTAAACAGGGCACAATGGATGCTGATTTTAAATGGGCCCCTACAGACTGGAGCACACCCAGGTAGAGCACATAGACTGTACTGTGGAAGCCCCATGAGGAATAGTCGTAAATTTAAGTATGTTCTGCTTGGTAACAAGCTCATGATGCCACGTTCCCCTTTGATAGCAATTTAGAGACCTTTCTTTAGCACTATGGGGCAAATTAAAATCTTTTCAAGGAAACAGTAGACAGGTTGTTAGATCTTCCCAATGATTGGAATTGTTTGAATTTGGGCATAGGCCTCTATTGCTGATGGTGAAGCTCTGACCTTGTTAAACTCTTTCATTGATGAGTTCATTCAAGTCTCACTGAAATCCTGAGAGGTTGGCAGTGCCATCACCATCTATTGACATATGAAGAAACTGAGGTTAAGTTATAAGCCCTAAACGACATCAGTTAGTGTAGAGCCTGGATAACCAGGTGTTGTCTGCCTTACAGCATGTGCCATTTTTTCTTCTTTTGGTTTTTTGAGACAGGGTCTCTCTGTGTATCCCTGGCTGTCTTGGAACTCCTTCTGTAGACCAGGCTGCCTCAGACTCAGAGATCACCCTGCCTCTGCCTCCAGAGTGCTGGGATTAGAGGCGTGTGCCACCATGCCCATTGATCATTTGCTGTTTAACACTTGGAACCCTGCTTCTCCTGGAACAAGATACTGACTCTCAGTGGGGCACATTGCAGAGGGTTCTGTGGCATCAGCTGATAGATGGGACTAGATGACCATTAAAGACTCTTTAGTAATAAAAGTTCTGTAACTTCAAGGGCTATTTTAGCTCCAGTGGGAAAGGGATTGGGCTAAAAGTCTTTCAATCTGAAGCCTGAACTTGACTATGTTCTTAGCATCAGCTTTCTGAGACTCTATGGTGGGATCATGTGTGCCTGTGTGTGTGGACATATGTATTCAAATGCAGTCATGCCTTTAGTCCAGACAGCTGCAAATCTTGGGCAAACTCCTTAATAATTGAGTCTAGCTTTGTTTATCTCAAACTATTTGTTTCTCCTTAAAACTTAGGTAACCTTATTTTTCACCTCTCATGTTGACTTGGCTCTTTCCCACAGATTTAAGAGTACAGCAAAGCCAGCTATGCTTAGAGTTCATTTTTACTCAGCTAGATAAATCAAGAGTACAGGAAGCAGAGTACATGTCAGTTGTTAATTATATCCTGAGTCACTCTGCCAAAAATTGGTTCCTGCCCTAGTATCAAAGTAAGAATCTCACAAGCAAAACAAAAACAAACCATTAGGAGCTGGGTGTTGTTGACTCATGCCTTTAATCCCAGCACCCCAGTAGCAGATGCAGGAGGATCTCTGAGTTTGATGCCAACCTGGTCCACAGAGCAAGTTTCAAGACAGCTAGGCCTACACAGAGAAACCCTGTCTCAAAAAAATAAGAGTCTCATATGCAATATTAACACAGAACACTAGTCTTACTGGAGTTTTTGATATATATTATATAATTTGAGAGTGTATGTACGTATACATGCACATGCCACATGCCTTAATGTACACGTGATGGTTAGAGAACAACTTGCAGGATTCAGTTCTCTCCTACAACAATGTGGATCCCAGGGATGGAGCCCCAATCCTAAGGATTGGCAGCAGATGACTCTACCTGCTGTATATTATTTTTATATATTTATTGAGAAAAATTAACACAAAGTACTCTGGTTTTCTTTATTTTTTAAAATAATTTTATTTTATGTGCATTGGTATGAATGTGTCAGATTCCCTGGAACCAGAGTTAGTTTTAAACTGCCATGTGGGTGCTAGAATTTGAACCTGTGTCCTCTGGAAGAGCAGTCAGTGCTCTTAAACACTGAGCTATCTCTCTTGCTCCATGTACTCTGGATTTCTGAATTGTCTTCAGGATAAAATTTCATTTTTATATAATTACTTTATTTGGAATATACTCAGAAAACTTAGAAAATGCATATGCTAAATATTAATAAGGTAATACTGGGCACACAACTGTTACCCTTCAAAGAGAAAAGGTTCCTTTTATTTAGATAATATATCTGATAAAATATTCTAATGAGCTCATTTTATATTATTCTTAACTCCAATGAAATGCATCAAATCCCATTATGATTATCTGGGATTGGCACATAAAGCAATTTGGAACATTTTTAAAGAGAACTCTGTGGTGGTTTGAATGAAAATGGCCTCTAGAGACTCAGGGAGTGGCACTATTGGGCGATGTGGCCTTGGAGGAAGTGTGTCACTGGGGGTAGGCTTTGGGGTTACAGAAGTCCTGCTGATCAGGCTGTAGAACTCTCAGCTACCTCTCCAGCACCATGTCTGCCTGCATGCTGCCATGTTTCTCACCATGATGATAATAGACTAAACCTCTGAACTGTAAGCCAGTCCCAATTAAATGAATTTTTTTTCTAAGAGTTTGCTGTAGTCATGGTGTCTCTTCCCAACAGTAAAGTCCTAACTAAGACAAACCCTAAGCGGATATTGTCATGCATGCCTGTAACAGGAGACTGAGGAAAGAGGATTGCTGTAAGTTTGAAGACCACTTGGGTTATATACTAAGTGTCTAAGATCTAGTGTTGTATAGCAAGATCCCCATCTCAAAACAAAACAAAAGAACAGCAGCCAAAACAACAAACAAAAAACAGAAGCAGGAGGCACTGATGCTCAGCAATGACCTCAAAGAACTGTGTTGTAACACCAGGGCTACAACTTCTCACAGGTTCAGGCGAGGGAATTTGAGGATTGAATAAAGACAAGACAGCTGGTCATTCTTGCAAGAAAAATGACCTTTATTTCAAAGGGGAGGAGACACCAGACATCAGACACAGTGGAAAGTTACTCAGGTCAGAGGTTCATGCTCCCAAGCCCCCGGCAATAGGGATGTGTAGATAGTTTGCATTCTTGTATACAGGACTAGTTGAAAGGAGGGAACGAGGGAACCCTTGAATTAAATGGTACAGGAGACTGCTTCCTGAGCATTACACCAGTAGCACAGACACTGAGGGCAAGAATTGATAAATGGGACCTCCTGAAACTGAGAAGCTTCTGTAAGGCAAAGGACACAGTCAGCAAGACAAAACGGCAGCCCACAGACTGGGAAAAGATATTCACCAACCCCACATCTGACAGAGGGCTTCAGTACTTATCCCTAGTATAGGTGTG